TGTGCCAGCAAAAACTGTTTAAAATTTATGGTCACCAAGTGTGTGTGTGTACGCCGTTATAACAAACGGTTTTAGTTCTGTTTATTGCGCTTGTACAATTCTCAAAAAGCAGGGGGCAGAGGTGCCCATGTCACTTCCTCTGCCAACGAAGCTGGGTGACATGTGGTAAGGATATAGGTCAGGGACGCCTGACCTACGTACCTGCTATGGTTTAAACTGTTGACCTTCTGTTTCTGTTCATGAGCTGTACGTTGTTTCTTCGATCGCGATTCCGTGTCCGCTGCAACACTACTGCCAGGTAACCCAGGAAAGCAGGCGAAACCTATGACATCATTAAAACGTTCCACTCACCATTATCCCACAGTGTGCTACGGGTGTTTGACCTCAATTGGTCGCACCGTCGGTTGGTTTCGACCAATCAAAAAGTTATGAGCGGGCATTTTCCCGTATTCAGAGTGGAGTATGAATCTCCGAAGCCGTATGCACTTCGAGTGCATCTCAGGCGTCATCTGACGAAGTCAAGATTTTACACTGTAAAATCCAAGCGAAGCAGCCATAAGGCGAAGAAGCCATAAGGCAGAAGTTTCGTCCAATTAGGACAAAGTAGACATAAGTCGAAGTTCTCCGCACCACGGGTGCAATACAAGTGCTTTTTGGTCTGACTCTCAGCAATCCAAATGTGTATTAGGTGAATCTCTTGGATCTCTTGTGTTTCAACATACAAGGGTACTTTCAATCTTTCATTCACTTTGGTGACAGTTTTGATGTTTCCCAGGAGTCGTGATCCACCTTTGCCATTTTCTGAAGTTTTTCTACTGGACAGATCCCTGCTCGATCTGCACCATTACTTCCTCCTCCTTCTTGTCATCTTGTTGCACACGTTCAGAATATTCAAGTGAGTGGATCATCATCGTTTCCAAAAAACCTTGGGGTTTCGCTGAACATTGTTGGACGACTTTGACACTACCGCATAGAAGCTGCTACTGCCGATCATTTAGCTCCTCTCATAGGTCAGATTTTCGATGATGAACGACAGGCTGAGATGCAACAAAACATGTGGAATTTTCTACAAATGATGATGACGATGAATCCAACACTGATGAACTCACAATGTTCATGCTTGTATGTGTATCAACCATGTCGGGGCCCACAAACGGATACTTCTGGTCCGGAACCCTGCGCTTTTAGTGCGGGGACTACGTTCACAGTCGGACACTCAACTGGTCCGGGACCCGGTCAATGTGATTTAGGTTGAAACATTGTCTCGCCACATGGTTGATGAATACAAAGCCTGTGGGGTGGGTGATCAACCTAATTTGGAGGCAGTCAAATTTTGAGCAAACCTGCCTTTGAAAATCAGATTCGTTTTCTGGCTGCAGTTCATCATGTTAAGAATCAGTGTCTAGTTTTGACCAAAACAGTGTAGGCCAGCTGCGCACACTTCATGAATTCAGAACGTTTTCGAAATATGTTCAGTCCTACTGTAGACGACTGTTACTGAACGGATGTCAGTGGATTGCATGCCTCCTCCAATTTTCGAACAATTTACCTTGGAATCTCCAACAATTTTTGATGTGGATTTTGAGTCAATCGACAGCTACTTCATTGCTCTTGCTTGCTTATAATTGACTCAACGTCGGATCCTTAGCATTTTTCATTCATTTTTTGCACCTGCCTCAGAACTGGATTTTTGAGTGATGGTCGCAAATAAATGTTGTGCATATGCGATTACACCGGACTGGAGATGAAATTTGAATGTTCGAAATTATTGCGATCATCTCAAGCTGATCATGACTATACATATTCTTGTTATGCATATTGAGTCGAAATTTGTCGGAACCTTTCTGGTCAAGAGCTCAGCAACAACTGCAGTTCCGGAACTCAGATTTTCCACTTGCCAATGTACTTGTGCGATTACTCATTCTTGACGATGAGATGGAATCACAAATGATGGAATCACAAATGAGGTCTTGGTTGAAAGGCTTTATCGTACATCATCAGGTAAGTTTTGCTCATTCGTTTTGCATTCATCGTCCTTGTCAATGGCATGAGTTGCTGATTCGGACATTTTTGGATGACAAGGTATTTACTCCCTGTAAAGCTACTCCAGTACAGACTGTACAACAGATTCGCAATTCAGTACCTGAGTGGATTTTTCGACATTACGCGTGGGGCTTGGATTTCAGTGCGAAACTCAGCACGGGTTACATATTACCAAAACCTAGTCGCATGTTCAAAAAGGCTAGACCCATTATCAACTATAGCACATCGTGGCCGCGGAAGTTGGGCCAAGCCATTGGTATTGCATTATTGGAAATACTCAACATTGTTTATTCTGACCTTTTGAAATTTCAGGATGTACACGCCGTACTTGGACAAATTCGTTTGATTTTTCAAGTCATTGCTACTGATGAACGGACATTTGAAATCCATCAATCTGACATCGCTGGCTTCTACAATCAAGTGGAACACGATCGAATTCTTCATGCTGTTGATTTTGCAATCATCTATACAGACACACAATCATAAGTTGGAACGCACACTACGCATTTTTCAGGGTCATTGGCGGTCTCAGAGCAAGCAGTTTCGAGAATTTAAACTGGCTCATATTCGGGATTTGGTAAAACTCTTACTTCAGAACTCGTTCTTCCACGTCGGGACCCAAGTTTTTCGTCAACATCGTGGTGCGTCTATGGGCTCACAATGGGCGCCTATTTTATGTTCGGCTGTTGCATTAATGAGAGAGTACAATTTTTTCCAGGTTTATCCCATGTTGACAATAGAGCTCATCAGGAGATTTTCAGATTCACCAGGCAATAATAGGTTTTTCTGCGGTTTGCCCCATTTCGGGGCCATTGTGTGTGTAAACCGTTATAGCAAACGGTTTAGTTTTGATGAATCAATCATGTTCGGATGAAGCAGGGAATTTTGTTATGCAGTTTGAGCCGAAACTTGTCGGAACCTTTTCGGTCAAGAGCTCAGCAACAACTCAAGCTCATTCTGCAGTTCCGGCACTCAGAATTTCCACTTGCCAATGTACCTGTGCGTTATTTTATTCTTGACGATGAGATGGAATTACAAATGAGGTCTTGGTTGAAAGGCTTTATCGTACAGTCTTGTGCATCGTTTTCATTTTGAACTCAAACGTATACAGCATTTGTATACGCATTTTCTTTAATGTTAGGATTTACGACTTATAGAACACGGTTTAACTTTTTGCTTTTCACATCACTCGTCATCGTCATCAGGTTCTTTTAGGCCAGGTATTCATTCTCTTAGGCAGGCTCTTTAGGTCAGTTTTCTTAGGTAAAACTAGGCGGTTTGCGGTTTTGCCCCATTTCGGGGCCATTGTGTGTGCGTACACCGTTATAACAAACGGTTTTAGTTCTGTTTATTGCGCTTGTACAATTCCCAAAAAGCAGGGGGCAGAGGTGCCCATGTCACTTCCTCTGCCAACGAAGCTGGGTGACATGTGGTACGGATATAGGTCAGGGACGCCTGACCTACGTACCTGCTATGGTTTAAACTGTTGACCTTCTGTTTCTGTTCATGAGCTGTACGTTGTTTCTTCGATCGCGATTCCGTGCCCGCTGCAACACTACTGCCAGGTAACCCAGGAAAGCAGGCGAAACCTATGACATCATTAAAACGTTCCACTCACCATTACCCCACAGTGTGTACTGCTGCTGGTGCTGCTGCTGGCAATTTATGGCGATTTTACAGGAACAATGCTGATTAGCTGTAGATTAAGGGCACCTCTTTTCAGACAAATTCATGCGCAGAAATATTTCGAGCTTGATACGTTTATTTATACTGGGACCGTATGGAATCGAAAGTGTTGCCCATTATTATTGTTATTATTCATCATTATTATTATTAGATGCACAGTTTTCAGCAAATTCCGGGTGCTTGGTTATGTCGAAACATGTTGATCTTTCATCCCTTTCACTTTCCTCGACGATGTACGCCAGATTATGAGAAGTTTGATGGGGGTTTCCTAAAATAGGGGTACTCCTAAATCATCCATTTTAATTTCAATGAGATTGTCCATTATAAACCATCCATTTGGGAGTACCCCCATTTATGGAACCCCCTTGATGCAACTTCGGAGAATTCGCGGCTGCCAGGCCACTTCCATTCAATATGACAATGCCCAATCAAGACAAATGGAGGCCCCTCTCCTGGGTAAGCGCAGTTGATTGATCACCAGCAAAAAGTCTAGTACATACTGCCAAGAATAGAGTATATTCGTGATTAGTCATGTTTTGGGGGATAAAAACGATGGTTTCCTGTAAGATTTCTTGTTGGACCTATTCCAAAAAAAACTTGTTGAATTAGATACCATGACAAGACTGTTGGCTGGCTAAATGGATTGATACAGGAATGGTCTGGCAGGATTCTGATGACTGATGCATCAACCCAGTCTTCCTGCAACTCAAAGGCAGAAAAGTGGGACACCAAGACATATGTATACAGTAAATATAATCTATAATTATCTATATATAAATCTATATCATCTACAACCGCCTGGAAACCCTTTCGGGCATCTTTTCGGGGGGGTGGCTATACTGGCTACACCTCAGTCAGTGATATTTGCCCCAACTCGTCCCGAGCATCTGGAAAAACGCTATGGCTTTGTTGGTGATTTACACATATCTTCCCTAAAATTGGTTTAAAACCATGGTGCCCTGGTGAACAGCTGGGAGATGTCCGTTGGAGTATGGTGTCATAGGTTTAATCTCCAAATGCTCTGTTTCTGGAAGTGATTGTGCTCAAATTGTTTTATTGTGACACAACGTTCCGTGCAAGTGTGATTTGGTATGATTTGGTGCCCTCACGTCACATCGATGAAAAGACGAAGGCAGCACCGCCGTTTACTGTGCATTTGCACAATCCTTGTAGCTTGGAACATGTGGAACGAACATCATGCTAACTGGACTTGCGTCCTGCAAAATAGTGATTCAATGAAAAAAGTTCAGGCATTTGCCATCCCAAACTCCATGGACCGCATTGGAAGCAAAGCCTTCCAGGGTCGCAGTTCGTTGCAGAGCATAACAATTCCAAACTCTGTGACTTCCATTGGGACTTTGGCTTTTGATGGTTGCAGTTCTTTGAAGAATGTGACAATTCCAAACTCTGTGACATCCATTGGGAGTTCGGCTTTTCGGGGATGCAGTTCTTTGAAAAGCGTGACCATTCCAAACTCTGTGACTTCGATTGGGACCTCGGCTTTTGAGGGTTGCAGTTCATTGGAGAGCGTGACGATTCCAAACTCTGTCAAGGAAATTTGGGAGTCGGCTTTTCAGGGATGCAGTTCTTTGAAGAGCGTGACGATTCCGAACTCTGTCAAGCGTATTTGGGAGTCGACTTTTCGGGGATGCAGTTCTTTGAAGAGCGTGACGATTCCGAACTCTGTCGAGGAAATTTGGGCGTCGGCTTTTCAGGGATGCAGTTCTTTGAAGAGCGTGACCATTCCAAACTCTGTCAAGCGTATTGGGGAGTCGACTTTTAAATTCAGTTCTTTGAAGAGCGTGACGATTCCGAACTCTGTCGAGGAAATTTGGGCGTCGGCTTTTCAGGGATGCAGTTCTTTGAAGAGCGTGACCATTCCAAACTCTGTGACTTCGATTGGGGCTTGGGCTTTTCGGGGATGCAGTTCTTTGAAGAGCGTGACGATTCCGAACTCTGTCGAGGAAATTTGGGCGTCGGCTTTTCAGGGATGCAGTTCTTTGAAGAGCGTGACCATTCCAAACTCTGTGACTTCCATTGGGACTTTGGCTTTTGAGGGTTGCAGTTCTTTGAAGAATGTGACAATTCCAAACTCTGTGACATCCATTGGGAGTTCGGCTTTTCAGGGATGCAGTTCTTTGAAGAGCGTGACCATTCCAAACTCTGTGACTTCCATTGGGTCTTTGGCTTTTGAGGGTTGCAGTTCATTGGAGAGCGTGACGAGTCCAAACTCTGTGACATCCATTGGGACTTCGGCTTTTCGGGGATGCAGTTCTTTGAAGAGCGTGACGATTCCGAACTCTGTCAAGCGTATTGGGGAGTCGACTTTTCGGGGATGCAGTTCTTTGAAGAGCGTGACGATTCCGAACTCTGTCGAGGAAATTTGGGCGTCGGCTTTTCAGGGATGCAGTTCTTTGAAGAGCGTGACCATTCCAAACTCTGTGACTTTGATTGGGGCTTGGGCTTTTGAGGGTTGCAGTTCTTTGAAGAGCGTGACCATTCCAAACTCTGTGACTTTGATTGGGACCTCGGCTTTTGAGGGTTGCAGTTCATTGGAGAGCGTGACGATTCCAAACTCTGTCAAGAAAATTTGGGAGTCGGCTTTTCAGGGATGCAGTTCTTTGAAGAGCGTGACCATTCCAAACTCTGTGACTTTGATTGAGAACTGGACTTTTGAGGGTTGCAGTTCATTGGAGAGCGTGATGATTCCAAACTCTTTGACTCACATTGGAATCTCCTCTTTCGCTCATTGTAGTGCGCTGGTTTGGTTGACAATTCCAGATTCGGTGACTTCAATAGGTGACGCTTCTTTCAGTCACTGTTCTTCGTTAATGAACTTGACCCTCTCAAATTCTATCGCGCGCATTCCTTTCTGGGCTTTTTTGGGTTGCAGTTCGTTGAAGACATTGGAGGTTCCAAACTCCGTGACTCACATTGATAGCTATGCTTTTCACGATTGTCCGGTGGAGTCTTTGAAGCGTCCTAATCTGTGACTTTCGGGCGCCGTGCCTTTGAGGGTTCCAGGGCGGCAATTTGGAGAGCCGAGAGCTGAATTGTTCCTGGAAAACAAGCCGCGGGACTATCAGACATGGGGATGACATCATCAAATTCGGATTTCAACATCAAAAATGTTGATTTGACCAACAAGAATGGCTTATGGCGGCTTTGAATGGGGTCTAAAGTGTTTTAACTACGTCTACTGTATAATAACTCTTGATCCACAATTGGGAATGTGTGTGACTTCTGTGGTGAAGACTTGAAATGAATATCCCGGGTTTTGGGATGAACATGGACCAAGAAATTGTTATGACTGTCTGGGTTTAAACCAACAAGCAGGAGGGTAGAATGATGATTTTCCTTAAGGTTCAAACAGCAATAACAATAATTACTGTAGTAATAAAATGTAATAATTAAATATAATAATAACATGTAATAATAACAATAATATTCGCCTTGAATGATACAGTACCATACAGTACCAATGTCGAACAGATACTGAAGTAAATGGTGCACTTCTTTGCCCGAAAAATGCCGAAAAACCCAGTTGTCCAGGCTTTTCTGCCGGTCCCTGCTGCTACCTGTGGAGATGGCAGAGCCATTGGGTCCTAAGGCGCTGCCATTGGGTGAAACAGGCCCTTCATTTAAACATGGGTAGTTAGTCCAATTTGGTCCATGTTTTGGAAGATGAAATCAGAGATTTCCGGGTGACACAAATCTCGGTCTTTAAACCGAGGGTACCATTTGGCAAAATTTTGTTTGACAGAGCTTGGTGAATTCCCTGGCAGTGGCCTGGCAGGTCTTCATTTGGGGAGAGCCTGTACTCCGCAGGCCATCCTGACGTAAGACGGGCTTGCCTCTGAAAATTTGGGAAAACCATGGAAAACCCTCCAAAATCCTATGGTTGATCATCATGTTCGACTCATTTTCCCATGTGTTTCCCTACGAACATTGCGATTTTGGTGTATCCCCACTGCATTTTTTTGGCATTTTTTCTGATGGCTTTTGGAATCGCCTGCGACCGAGGTACTACACCATCTATGACTTGGCCAACAAGAGAATTGGTTTAGCACTGGCTCGACAACCCGTTGGACAGGCCACGGTCGCCGACGTTGAAAACGGAGTCAACCTGCGACCAATCCTGCGACCTTGAAATCTGAAAAATCGCGCCTTCGGTACTCATTACACATCAGAAAAAGATACATCAGCTAGTACCAGGCATTTTAAATGAAATGTAACCACAAAGCACACAGGATGACCAACCAGTTCTACGATTTGCCATCTGAGGAGATTCCATCCACCACTTAGCCAACATGGAACCAATGGTTCAACCACTTCTCTCTGCAGGCATCTTCGCCTGCCAGTGTGGGTGCGCCACCTGCAGGTTCCTTGCTGTCAGGCGGGGTCATTTGATGACCTTGTGATAGCTGGATCTGTGGGAAAATGATGGAAAAATGGTAAAATAAATGATGAAAGCATGATAAAAAGGTGGTAAAACCTGGTGAAAACATGAGAAAACTAGGGCACAGGCACAGCAGACTCCAAAGTACTCGATTTCTTAGATTGTTTTTGCTATTGAAATGGCTTGCATGTCACGCAGTCATGGAGCTTTGAGGTGCCTATTGTGGAACATGCTACCAGAAAATCCTCACCAAATACCCCCTCCAATTTCTTCTTTCGGACCCAGGCTCGCCATTGTCGGCACCACTCAGCACCGGGAATGCCAGGAATCGGTTCTGTGGATTTGCAAAGTCTTAGGACTTCTCTGCCTTTGTGCCCAACATATTCCAACCATAGGTGAACATCCTAAATCATATGCCTGCAGAGTGGTCACCAATTCCAGATGCCCTGCTACCCCAGCCGTCTCTAAGGGCGCCGTTGACGACAGAGGCCGGGGGCGCAGCATGGCGCAGCTACGCAGCTAGACATGATGCCACTGGAGACCAGTCAACGTCCGTCCTTGAGGTCACCACCTAAGTTCTTGGCATCAAGGAGGCCATGACTGGCCTCGACAGGAGGGATGTCTTGGAATGTCTTGGATGCGGGATAGATCATGTAAACCATTTTGTTGTCAGTGCTTGTTGAGATTGTATTGTTTCAATATGTATCTTTGAGTGCTTATATTTAGGCGGCACCTCCAACCAGAAGCATGAACATGCGCTCCGATTCGAGGTCGAAAACATCTATGAAAAACATGGGGAAGAAAAACATGGTCTACTGATGTCTACTGTAACTGGTTGGTGGTTTGGAACATGTTTTCCATTTTCCCCAATTGGGATGATCCAATCTGAGGAACTTCCAGGTCATCCCAGGCTGCAGCTGTATACATGACAGCCTATAATTAGTATATATTAGTACTATAGCTACTATAGCGCTTAAGCTTTAAAGTCTAATAACATGCCAAAGTCTGTAACATGTCAATGTATGTCAATGTATCTATTCCATTCTATTCCGAATTGTATTCAGCATCCGTCTATCGCCAGCATCCTGTGCCAGTTGTACACGCTCCGCTGCCAATAGCCACATCCTCCAAGAGCGATGCGGACAAATCGAAAGAAAAAAAGCGCTTTGCAAAGGGTCCATTTGCAGGTTGCAGGCTGCAAGTTTTGGAGAAACTTCCACATCTTCAGGAGAGCAAGACTGGTGAATTATCTGACGGAAGTCAATGTAAATATGTTTGCAAAGTTGGGCCCCCCAAATCTACCAAAATAGATAAGCTTTGCATGGACAAAGACAAAGACCATGGCATGGCTTAAATAAAGTATGTAATAGCTGAGTTGGCTTCGTGCTGGTCGATATCGACGTGCCCTTGCAGATCTTGTAGCATTTGGCTTCACAGCATGTTTCCCAGACAAACACGAGGCTAGCGAGGCTTGCAACGCCTGCCCCACCTCCCAGTTCACTTCCCATTGGGAAATGGAGATCCACCAAGATCATCAGAACCGTCAACATCTACAGCTGAAGGCGTTCGCCAAAGGCGGCGCTTAATCAAAAAGCGCCATGGAGGCAGATAGCACTGAGCATTCGGCATGGGATTGCAGCTCAGTGCCTTCCCGCGTGGCGCATTTGCTGTCCTATTGGATGAAACATTTGGATAGCGGTGGCAAGGCGAGTTTGATATACGGTGATGGCCGAACGGAAGAACGTGAAGGGGATTAGTGGGGTTTTATGATGATTTATGATGATGTATGATGATGTATGATGGCTTATGATGATTTATGATGATTTATGATTTATGATGATGTATGATGATGTATGATGATGTATGATGATTATGATGATTATGATGATTTATATTGATTTGTGATGATTTACATATGATGATTTATGCTGATTTATGATGAGGTGTGATGATTTATGAATTATGATGATGTATGATGATGTATGATGATGTATGATGGCTTATGATGATGTATGATGATGTATGATGAATCATGATGGTTTGTGATGATTTATGATGATTTATGATGATTTATGCTGATTTATGATGATGATGTGTGATGATTTATGAATTATGATGATTTATGATGTTTCATGATGATTTATGATGATGTATGATGATGTATGATGATGTACGATGAATCATGATGAATCATGATGATTTATGATGATTTATGATGATTTATGATGATTTATGATGAATTTTGATGAATTATGATGATTTATGCTGATTTATGATGATTTATGATGATTCATGATGATTTATGATGATTTATGATGATGTGTGATTGGCGAATGTTGATGACTGATGTGGTGTTTGGAAAACACCTATGTTTTTTTGATCATTTGATTTAAGTCGTGCATCCGGATGATCCGATGCACAGCTAAAGAACTTGCACAGACTGACTATCCAACTGTCCAGGGCAAATGCGACCAGAAAATCCCATGATGACTGAGGTTTGATGATTGAGGAGAATGGTTCTCTTGATTTCGATTGATTTCGCTTGTCCTATTTTGTATCCGGGTTTGTCATCAACCTGTGCATGAGACTGCTAGGCAGATGAGTGTTTGGTGGCGTTGTGCAGCTTGGTAAAAGTGCCCGCAGTTGCTTGCATGCTGCCTGCCCCTCTGACGGACGAGACGAAGAAAGCGTTGGAGAAAATTTCCGATGCTGGTGTCTTGGCTAGAGATGCTGGGTCATAGTTAAAGCTACTCTTAGTATTTATTGGATGGAGCCCTCGGAATTTCTTGCATGTGTCGTTCAATGTCGTTCATCATGCATGGGGTGATTCATGCGCTTTCAACAATTCTTACTACAGCCTGCAGTTGAGAGCTTCGGGTCAAACATAATCAAGAATGGGGTAGCCATGGTAGTTTCCACCCACCACAAAACGGCGCGATCAACGTTCAGCTGATCTTATAGTTGCAGCATGTTGCACCATCCCATTTATGACAGCAGCCCAGTCCTATAGGAATCGAATTGTTGGCTGCGGCAGAAACCGCCTTGTGGGACATGCCCCGGATGCTCTTCGTCTTTCGGCTTCGAGAGGCACGAAAGATTTGGTGCGGATGGGCCATTTATGGCTGCAAAGCATGGGTGTGTCGGTGTGTCTGAGAATGTGGAACATCTCCCCAAATTGATCTAAATGGCCATTTTAATAGGGAGAAATATGATAGATATGATAGTCCATGGAAAATGGTGCTACACTATTTTCAAACAAACCCATCTGGACAAAGAGCCTCTACTTCTTTTTTGCACAGGCAGAACTCGCCAGTCCTGTCTCACAGCTGCAGCATTTGTTGGAGGCTGGAATTGCAAGCGAAGCTTCACCCGCAATGCACTCACCCAGTTAGTATTGTTTTGTTTCAAGTGGCTATACTGGTTTGCTACATTTGCTGTTGTTGTTGTTGTTGCTGTTGTTGTTGTTGCTGCTGTTGCTGTTGCTGTGGCTGTTGTTCTTGTTCTTGTTCTTGTTCTTGTTGTCGTTGTCGTTGTGGTTGCGGTTGTGGTTGTGGTTGCGGTTGCGGTTGTGGTTGTGGGTGTGGTTGTGGTTGTGGTCGTCGTCGTCGTCGTCGTCGTCGTGGTTGTTGTGGTTGTGGTTGTTGTGGTTGTTGTGGTTGTTGTTGTTGTTGTTGCTGTTTGGTTGTTGAGTTGTTGTTGTTGTTGCTGCTGCTGTTGTTGCTGTTGTTGTTGTTGCTGTTGTTGCTGTTGTTGCTGTTGGTGTTTGGATGTGTTTGGATGTGTTTGGATGTGCTGCTTCTGCTGCTTTTGCTGCTTCTGCTGCTTCTGCTGCTGCTGTGTGCGGGTGCTTTTCCGACGTTGAATGACCTAGAGAAGAATCGACAGCTGCTCCTGCCGTCACTATGAAGTGCGCCTATTTTATTTTGATGCACATGCATTTCAAAACGTGATTAATGTTTCGTCCTGATTAGTGTACCGCCCCCCCCAAACAATACCTATACTCTCTTTAAGCTTGGGCGCCAAACATTTTCTTCCCAGGGAAAAAAAACGCACTTAAGTAAGGATTTCAATTGGCTACAATTGAAATCTAATTATTTTTTTTTGCCGATGAACTTGTAGTACGTGTAGTACGTGTAGTACTTGTAGTACTTCTAGTACTTCTAGTACTTCTAGTACTTGTAGTACTTGTAGTGAGTGGGGTTCAGCATGTTGATTGCGTTACCTTTTCCACCTTAAGTTTTTTCCTTAATGAACCATACAATAAGAGAAAGAGAAAGAAAAGAGAAAGGGAACGAGAAAGAAAAGAGAAAGGGAACGAGAGGAAGAGAAAGAGAGGAAGAGGAGGAGGAAGAGAAAGAGAAAGAGGAAGGGAAAGAGGAAGAAAAAGAGAAAGAACAGGTTGCTTTTGTAAAAGGTTTTTCTTTCTTCTCTTGGCTCCAGGATCAGCTCTGGAAAAAGTTTGCTGCAAATGTGAACACTGAGAACAAACCTACTAAAGTGAATTGGACCCTCTCATGGCCAAGTGCCTTGGAAATTTGTGGAAAAACTGTTCTTCAATAAGGGTTTAATAAGTGGTCTGATCCTTTTGGAACAGGGAGAAGAGCAAGATTTTTTCAGAAAAAAATGTTCAGAGTTTTTTACACGCGCATTTTTTTTGACAAAAGAAAATGCCAAAAAAAAACTTGCCACAATGGTGAACCGTCGAAACATTACATGGGTTCAAAATAATTTGGAAAATTCTTGCCACAATAGCGAACCTAGCCACTAATCAGGATACAACATTATTTCACATGTTTCAACTTGTCAAGTTGTTTGGTGTCATCCTGATCTGATTGTGTTCCGTTCAATACGTATGTGAGAAAGCATCACAGTGACATTTGGCGCGCTTGCTTGTAGGAGGGAAATATATTGGTGTATAGTATAGCGGATACTCCAACTTCGGTGGGTATTAAAAACAGAGACACATTTGAAACTCAAAACATGTCCAGCGGGAAGGTTATTTGAATATTCCAATCCATATCATTCCTATACTTCCTTTAGATATGTTCTAATCAGATATTTCCTGCAGCACTATATATTCCAATCATTCCTATATACTGTAGATGAATTCCAATGATAGATATGTCATGATGTGTCAATTTTATAGGTTATAGATGGTGGATGATTTTCCAATACTCGGTATGTCCAATCCAATAATTTCACAACGAAAACTTTCCTTCAGCCCGGCGCAGGAAGTGGCTGAAGCGACGGTGCTCTTCAAGCCATCCGTTGGCCCTTGGCTTTGGCCACTTCATGAGCCCGAAACTTTGATGGGAAAAATAAGTTGCTTCTACATGTTGAAGAAAAATGAATCAAGTAGATACAAGAATTAAGGCGTTCATGATGCTCAATTTAATAAAACCCAGATCTTGTGGTTGAGAAATAGTTTGTGCTGAATAGAACACCAAACATTGATTTGATATTGAAATCCCATTGATAATGTGTACAATATAATAAATATATATATATTGTAACAATCAACTACAAGATTTGATAGGGTGCTATATTAGATCATTAGTGAGTCAAAATAATCCATGTTCAAACACTTAGAGAGTACAATTGCACAACTAAGGATGTGTCAGCAGCTTTGCTCGTGTGCGACGTCACTTTGGCAACACCTCAGGTTGAATGCAGATGCGGGTAATGCGCAAAGCCAAAACAACCATAATTACTCGCAGAGAATCTAGAAAATTTGCATTGCTGGTATTTCGCAATGTACCCTTTGGTAAACAAGCATAGCTAATTATTGAAAATCACCATTTTAAATGGGAAAACTATGGAAAACTCACTATTAATGGGCATTTTCAATAGTTTTTTGTATGTTTACCAGAGGGTAAATCAACCATCCCTCCCCAATTGGGAGGTTTCTGATTCTTATCTACCGCATCATGGTGATGCATCGCGGGGGCTTGAGTGCTCAAGAGAAACCAAGGCTATGGCGGATGATGAGCAGTCACTTGGCTTTGAACTCTGAAGCCCGGTAGAGTTGCATGTCAGGGATTTACTCATCAAACATTGAGAAATATTGAGAATTGAACCAGGAAACATATTGAAAAAAATTGAAAAATGGGATCTGGATATGGGCGAAGTTTGGTGAAGCTGTTGGGCACAGCAAAATCACCAGGAAAATGGCGATCAGATCCTTTTGGAAAGCCTGGGATGGATGGAATTTCCGAAAGGTCCCACACCCAAAGATTCCAACGGTTGAAGCCGAATGTACAAAGATGTACAAAGGATGAATGGAAATAATGGAAACTCAATTGAAGCTACTGCTGATGTTGGATTATATATAGATATGATATGATTAGATATGATTAGGGGATATGTGCTGTCACTTTCACCTGTGTATGTGTTCCGCAGTTGAAACTGAGCTTGGCCAAACTAAGCTGGGCGATGCGAATCATCCGTGGCTTTCGCATTCTTCCACCGGTTCATATGGCGGAACAACAGAAACATATCAGAGAGCAACTGGGCCTTTTCACCGGAAGGGAGGACGTCACATCGAGTGATACCGTTCACGACCAACTTATTGTGGGTTTGCATCCATTCACATCCATCCATCATCAGCTGAAATCAAACATCCTGAATCCATACCCCCATTTTTTGGGTTAAATCACTTCTATTAAGCAATTTGCAAACACAATTGATATCATTCAATGATAATTTGCAGTTTGCAGATCTTTATAGTTTATATATATAGATGTTTATAGCATTAGTTGAACATCTAGAATCTAAGTTTCACTTCTTTCCCAAACTAAGATCAACTATAACCAACAAACAAACCAACTAAGGCAATACAGTGCCTCCACCACCTACGTCTTCGCCTGGAGCGAGATCTACGTCCAGGGCATCTGGGCTCTGCTGATCGTGGCAATCCCCGTGTCCTTGGCGCTCAGTTCTCGGCCCTGGGTGCTGGGCTGGGAGAGCTGGCAGTTCTACCTGCTGCAGGCGGTGTTTTTTGTCGCCACAAGCCATGGGAAGCCTTGGGAACCGGGAACTGTATGATCTGTATGGAACTGTTGGGCAGGTTGATGTTATTTGATGTTTATGTTCATTTGGATGGAAAAAAAGGATAAAAATCATGGGAGAAGCTGAATTTACAGATTTTGAAGGAAATGGGAAGGTTGGCCCCTCGATGTAGGCAAAATGCCCCTCAGTGCTGAATCCAACTTTGCGGCAGTTGGCCCGGGCGATGTTCTTTAAGATCTTTAAATTTACCTCAGCTGCTGAGGTCGACTGGTTTGACGTCATTGCAGCAACATAGGGAAAATCAATGAACATTGATCCTATCAACTAGTGGATTGCAATTGGCTGAAGGCAGTTGAAGGGGAAATCTATAGGAAATCATGGAAATCCGGTGAAATCCGTATATATATATATAATTATATATATACATACATATATTATACTAATATGTGTGTATATATATATATATATATTAGTGATGTATGCAGCTAAAAAGCATGGTGGCATGGTTTCCAGTAATTAACATGTCCCTTCAATCCATTTTTTGATTCCTTTGTTTTTGATACACCCCGGCAGATTTCGGCACGCCGCGACGCCGCGACGCCAGGTCATCATGTTGCTTTGGACCATGGTCATGGCTGCCCTTAGCCGCTCACGGCGAGCGTTTGTCAACGACGGCAGCCTGGGAGCGAAAAGCGAAAGACCCACCGACTTGAAGCATCTGGCCAAAACGTGCCCTGGCAAGTTGACAGGGTTGGGGGGAGACGGTGGGATATGAGCTATGGAAAGTAGCTTGAAATAGCTTGATACCTGGGTTTTTGATGATTTTTGGGGGTGTTTGAACATGTGCTACCCGTATGTACCCACACTATTACATCATTAATTCATCATTGCATATTTATATAATATATATACATAGTACTATATTACTATTACATCATTGTTGTTTGTGTTTCCAATAATAAGGGGCAAAATGCTCATCAACTACTGGTGGGTTTTGAAGTGGACCGGGGAGCACCAGGAGAAGAGCCAAACTAAAGCAGATGTTGGCGGTCACCGGAGCCGGCAATGCATTTGCGGAGGTGGTGAATCTGATCCTGGGCAGCAGGGGTGAGCCTTGCTGGGAAATGGGAGAAGTACGTGTGAAAGACCTGGGACTGCTGCTTTGAAGATGCTATTTGAATATATTTGATAATTTCATACATATACCTGGTATATATTATATGTACATATTTACTTTCAATTAATTTCATATATAGTAGCACAGTATATTCTGATAATTTGTTGATGTTTCTTCGCAAAAAGTTATGCCACTTCAGAAAAGCACTTTCTGTGGCCCAGGAGGCAAAATCCAGATCACTGGCATCAAGAGCACCCAAAGACATGGACAGTGCTGAGTATATTCGTCACAGGCCGACGAACATGGCGATACGCCATGGATGGCACTGTGATTTCATGGCAGTGGCATCAGTGGCATGAAATGGGAACCTAGTGGAGACCATTGCGCCACAATGGTGGAATAACTTGAAAGCACCTTGTAGCAGAGGATGTAATTTACATAAATTTACTTCAAAACGGTATATTTTGGCGATTATCTTAAATAGAATTTCTATGGAATGACTCGAATGACAATTATAGATGTGAATTCAGGTATTTTTTCTATGCTTGGTTGTTTTTATCGAAGAACAGTTAAATATGAATTCTATTAGAACAGTCTCAGCCTGCCCAGTCCTGGCGAGCTCCTTATGCTTGACCATGGCTCTATTTTTTCTGCTGATTGTGATGGAGCTGAAGATGCTCCTGCCCCATGGCATGGTTCAAGCCCTGGTTGCTGATTAGTTCGGGGGTTTACACTACCATTATTTACCATACCAGTACATAGATTGGGGATGATCATATTCCATGGTTCAAATGTCATCATGATACGATTCTCTCCTTGCTGATTTCTGTTTGACAGTGGGGTTTGCATCGATTGATTTGCAGTATCGGTGCAAATTTAGAAGTGTTTACAAGGATCGCGATGGTCTGGTTTGAACACTTGAGTACCGACTCCGAAGTCGCGTTGACTCAGGATCTTCAATTGGGGGGAGTGCTTCGAGCGGGCAACTTTGTCTGAAGTTTTGATTCATTACAATGCCAATTCATTTGTCCTTGGCTTTAAGGCCAAGCTATTGATTTCCATCGAACGTGCCTGCTTGATGTTCCCGTTGTTTGTCGGATGGAGGCTGCTCCCAAAGTATGCCATGTTATGTTTGTCCCACAAGATTCCTTTCCATCCCTTGTTGAATCCCCTACAAGCATTGGCCTGCCAAACATGGTTTGCTGGAAAATCCACCATTTGGTTCGATGATTGTCCCTTTCACGTCGGGCTTCCCCGACTGCCCTGGGCTTTTTTTTTTGCCACGACGCAGGGCTGTATTGGTCCCGAAGAAGTCCATGGCTTCGCGGGCTTCCTTTCCATGGTGGGCACCGACATTTTGTTGGCGCTGTTGATCAATGTGGCCACAGGGGAGTTGTGCAAAGCCTTCGCCTTTCAAATCGCCAAGTTCTGGAATTTCAAGGCATGGACACTGGCGATTAGTTAGGGTCTGGGATGGCTAGTGACCTAGTAACATCTCGTGATGGCCAAGGGCCAAATATCAAGAGATCTCCGAAACCAAGAAAGATTGAGTAGTTGCTGATCAACTTCAGGGTCCATCAGAACCCAGTGGTGGAATAGGATATTGGACTGTGTTGGAATATCAGGTGTTATCAGCCTTGAAGTCAGAGTATGTCAGGTTTGGCACTACAACTCACTACAACTCCAATAGATGTCCCAAGAATGGATAAGAATGGTGTAACAGCAGGCTCTCCGCATTTGCCATCAGCGGCCACTATTGTTTCCGGCCGCATTTATGATATTTCTGTTCATCAAACTTCTAGGTGGAAACAGGGGACGGCCATATCCGGCCATAACTATACGGACACTTGTTTTGATTGTCGTTCCATTTGTTAACTATTGTAATTGGGACGATTTCAGGGAACATCTACAGGAATTCATGAGGGCAACCATGTTGTCCGATCAAAAAAAAAGGGCTTCCAGCTTAAGCTGTCCCACCAATCCGATGGTATTATTGCAATAAATCATACAAGGATTTGTATGGAAACTTGTCTTGACATGGCGGACTTTGATGGAAATACAACAATAAACATCAATAAACCGTTGGAATACCATTAGATCTTGGGGTACCTTTTAAGACAAAACACACATATTTTTCATCATATGGAGGTTTCCTAAGATGGGGCTATCCCCTGTTCATCTTCCATTCTAAATTCGGACTTCCCATGATAAACCATGACAAACCATGACAAACCATCCAGCTATTGGCGCGTTCATGATGTTCATGGGGGTACCATGACCATCATGACCTAATCTTCCGCCAGGACATGCGACATCGTCTCTTTTGCTTCCACATGACGGGCGCCCTCATCGACGGCCTGGCCGCCATCGGGGTCTTCTCGTTTCTGGCCTTCGCCTTTCTGCCGGAATGGGAAAAGACCATCGAGGCCAGCTGGGACGATGCCTCCATGTGTCAGCACTTCTTTGACTACCAGGTGACTTGGATGAAAAGGATGGGGAAATTCTTGGAATCAAGAACTTACATTATGGACTGGAGTTTGCTGACTTACTATAACTTACGGGCTTTGTGGTGGTTTTGTTTTTTTTGTATGAGATCATGTCAAATTGATGGGAGGTACCACTGCTGCCTCCCATTTTTTGGGGCTGGAGCACTGGAGAAATCCCTGGTGATTCTCATCCAATCCCTGGTAATTCAGTGTAAGCTTCTGCTTATTCTACCAGTAGCCAGCTATAGCCAGCTCCCATGCCTGGCACCAACACCAGAAGATGCAGAAATATGTCACTGCCGCAATGCTGCCGTTGCTGAGATATGCCGCGCGATGGCTGGTTGCAGTGTGACAGATGCTTGCTTGAATTTAAGCTCAGAACATAGTCGTCGGGCATATGTGTAGACTCGGTAAACTCCCAAAGAATTTGTATGATGAAATCAACCTCAAATTGGCTCATAGACATTGGCTGTTATCATGTACGCCTTTCAGAAGCATAGCACAGCCAACCATCCACAGCTTGCAATGAATTGCTATCCTTGGGCGTGTCCAAACTCTTTGAACTTGCCTCTGAGCTTCCAAGTGTGCCTCCTACTCCCAGAAATGCTGTTGGTTTTGTGGCAAAATTGACCAAGGATCAAGTTTGTTGCTCGGGCACCCTCTTTTGCGCGCGTGCGAAAGCACCAGTTACACAGCCTGGACCTTGGAAAGCACGGAGGGAACTGACACCATGACGACTCACAGAGCTGGCTGTTGCCAGGCGTCAGAATCTCTTCAATGCCTGGCTTGGTGGTCTCTTTATGGTGGCACCCTTTGTCGATGTGCTCATGCAGTTTGTGGTACCATTGCTGGTGACAGCCTTAGTTGAAAAACAAAACAGTTGGGGTCGCCTGGGCCTCCTTCGGACTGAACACTCTGCAACTGCTAACTGTCCTCATCTGTCCTCCAATCGAACATGTTCTGTTGGAAAACCAAACCACTCAAAAGGATGAACTCAACAGAACGACATCAAACGACCAGTCCGTTTGCTGCATATTGTTTAAAGCCCCCATCCCATCGAGCCCGTTTTTGGAGCCCGGTGCTGGACCCTGCAGCGTCACCGAGACCTATTGGTTCCACTTGAAAGCTGACCGGATCTTGGAGGATGACGAGCGATTGAAGAAGAGGTCCTGCTGCTGCGGATGCCTCTCAGGACTGCGGACAGGATGGAAATGTATGGAAATGCTGATGTGGTCGGGGCCAACATTGAGTAACCAGGAAATCTCATGACCCGGGAGAATTTCTGAGACTCTGAATCAAAGATCTCACCAGAAAAAAAAAAACATATAAAAACATCAGAATCAAGGGTTTTAATGGGTTTTATACTTACTGTTTTAAGTGTTCTTGAGGTCAATGCATCCCATTTTTCTTGATGTTGAGAGGCCCAGATGGTGAGCCAGATGGTTCCAGATGATCACGAAATGCTGGGGCTACCGGGATACCAATGAATTGGTTTCTTTGTTTTTAGTGTTCAATCAAATCAATTGCAGTACAGTACATGAAGTCCATGTTTTCATATTTTTTTTCCTATTATCTTTTCCCCTTTCTTCATGGGTTCATCATTGTTTGGTAATATGCTAGAATTGTGTCATTTTGATTGAATTTTAAAGCTACCCAGCATATCTCACCATTGATCATTGATAGATCTCATGGTCAACAGTCAGGACTGGGTCGCCTGTTGGCGTTCATTTTCGTCCTTGATGGAGGCAGCATCGGCAGAAGACTGGGGCTAAGAGTTTTCAGGAATTGGTCGGAAAATGGCCCATGTATTTCGATGTTTTTGCCTATTAGTAATGGTGATACGATGGTGGTTTTCATGCTATGTTGGAGGGGAAATTTTGGGAATGGAGAACTTAATCAATATGTTCCAAACAGGAAGGAACATAAGTAACTAGACAGTATTGAATTAGGTCATTGAAATAGTCAATGGACATCCAGTGATGGGGTTATGAATGGGCAATCGTATTTGTTGCACCTCGACCCGGAGATGTTGTGCTGAGCCGGCTTGATCTGTACATCCAAAGCATGTTACATGAAACTTGCCACTTGTTTGTCAAAAGTGGATGCAGATGGATGAAGATATATACTCCTCTGGAAAATGAGGATTCTCCAATTCTAATTCGATTAATGTTGGTTCCTGATTAGTGTGTGCCCCCCCCCCCTCCCCTAAACTATTTCTGGACTCTCTTTAAAGTAGAAAAGCAAAAAAATTCTTCCCAAAAGAAAAACATATCCTCGATTAAGTAAGGATTTCAATTGGCTACAATTGAAATCTAATTACTATTGTTTTTTTGCCGATGAAGTTGTGGTACTTGTAGTACTTGTAGTACTTGTAGTACTTGTAGTACTTGTAGTACTTGTAGTACATGTAGTACTTGTAGTACTTGTAGTACTTGTAGTATTTGTAGTACTTGTAGTAATTGTAGTACTTGTAGTACTTGTAGTACTTGTAGTACTTGTAGTACTTGCAGTACTTGTAGTACTTGTAGTACTTGTAGTAATTGTAGTACTTGTAGTACTTGTAGTACTTGCAGTACTTGTAGTACTTGTAGTACTTGTAGTACTTGTAGTACTTGTAGTACTTGTGGTACTTGTAGTACTTGTAGTACTTGTAGTACTTGTAGTACTTGTAGTACTTGTAGTACTTGTAGTACTTGTAGTACTTGTATTACTTGTAGTACTTGTAGTACTTGTAGTACTTGTAGTACTTGTAGTACTTGTAGTACTAGTGGAAAAGCTGTTCTTTAAAAAGGGTTCAATATCCTTTGGGAAAGGCTTGGAGTTTGAATTTGGCAATTTTGGAACAGGCTTGCTTCCCTTCTGGGCTTCCAGGGGCTGCTCTGGCACAGCTTGCTGCAATAGTGAACCCAGCAAACAAACCTACTAAAGTGAAATGGAGCCTCTCCTGGTCCAGGGTTTTGCAAAATTGTGGAAAAGCTGTTCTTTAATAAGGGTTTAATAAGGGATTGGCTCCTTTGGGAAAGCCTTGGAGTTTGAATTTGGCAATTGCCTTTGGAAAAGGCTTGCTTCTCTTCTGGGCTTCCAGGGGCTGCTCTGGCACAGCTTGCTGCAATAGTGAACCCAGCAAACAAACCTACTAAAGTGAAATGGAGCCTCTCCTGGCCCAGGGCCTTGGAAAATTGTGGAAAAGCTGTTCTTTAATAAGGGTTTAATAAGGGATTGGCTCCTTTGGGAAAGGCTTGGAGTTGGAATTTGGCAATTGCCTTTGGAAAAGGCTTGCTTCTCTTCTGGGCTTCCAGGGGCTGCTCTGGCACAGCTTGCTGCAATAGTGAACCCAGCAAACAAACCTACTAAAGTGAAATGGAGCCTCTTCTGGTCCAGGGCCTTGGAAAATTGTGGAAAAGCTGTTCTTTAATAAGGGTTTAATAAGGGATTGGCTCCTTTGGGAAAGGCTTGGAGTTTGAATTTGGCAATTGCCTTTGGAAAAAAGGCTTGCTTCTCTTCTGGACGTCCAGGGGCTGCTCTGGCACAGCTTGCTGCAATAGTGAACCCAGCAAACAAACCTACTAAAGTGAAATGGAGCCTCTCCTGGTCCAGGGCCTTGGAAAATTGTAGAAAAGCTGTTCTTTAATAAGGGTTTAATAAGGGATTGGTTCTTTTGGGAAAGGCTTGGAGTTTGAATTTGGCAATTTTGGAAAAGGCTTGCTTCCCTTCTGGGCTTCCAGGGGCTGCTCTGGCACAGCTTGCTGCAATAGTGAACCCAGCAAACAAACCTACCTTGACTGAGCTACAGCGTTTTTGAGAAAAAAATGCGTCTCAGCAATTACAGTTTTTTTTTGCAAAAAAAAGGGCTCTCCCAATTTTGTTTTGCCACAAAAGCGAACCCTCCAAACAATACATGAGTTTCAGAATAATTTGGAAAAAATTTGCCACAATAGCGACCCTAGGTACTAATCAGGACCCAACATTAGGTCCTCAGCACAATTGCTCTTGCCTCCTTACCTACTTGGAATATCCTTTTCCCTGCCGGCAGGTGTCATGGGCCTACCTTACGTGTGGCGAGGCTATCCCTTCAAAGATCCAAAGATTGAAGTGGAAGCTGACGATGACTATGGAAGAAAGGCCCTAAAGATGTGGCTGGAAGGATCTAGGATGATCTAGGTTTGTCCGAAAATGGATGAAAATGGACGACCCATGGGGACCCCCAAATCAGCTCGGGGCCAAAATTATTTGATTTGAGGCCCACGCTTGAGGTGCCCCCGAGTTTTGGACACCTGCGCTCCAAATAATCTTACTTTCCATACATGTGCCAGATCTCAATGTGACAGCTGCAGTTTTCGAAGTTTGATGAATTCGTTGTGCGAGGCCTTGGGGCCTGTTTGCGCCAATTGCAAGAAAGACATGCATTGGACAAAGTCGCAAGAGCAATGGGAGTGCCGCCACAGCCAAAAGTGCAACTCCACACACCATTCCAAAGGGGAGACCAGATGGCAACTTGGTGGATGTTTATCATTTCACTGAAAAGTTTGGGGGGTGAGACCCAAATGGGGTGAGAAAAAACACTTTAAAAATATGAGAAAACATGGGAAATTAGGGAAAATAATGGAAGATAATGAAAAATATGACAACATGACAAGGGACATAAAAACATGACAATTTGAGAATTTGACAGTTTGCGAGAACTGTGGCTCAAACTTCTCAGTCAGTGCGCTTGGATGGTATCCAGCACGAGTTTGCAATGTCAAGGGCTCAGGTTCGTACAAAGCCTGTGGGCAGATCCATCACATGTGATTCTCAAAGGAGAATCAGGACAGCAGTGGTCTCCTGTTTCTTGTAGGTCAAAACATCTTCAAATGAATGGGCTTCAAATGGCATGGTCTCACAGAGGGCAAGGTAGGGCAGGGTCTCGCCCATCAAACATCTTCAAATATCTTCAAATGAATTAGAACAGATGGCAGGGTCTCACACATCAAGGAAGGCAAGGTCTCACAGAAAGGCAGGACTTCACAGAAGACAGGGTCTCGCCCATTAAACAAAGGCAGGGTCTCACAGAAGGCAGCACAGAAGGAAGGCCCCTCGCAGAAGGCAAAGCGTCACAGAAGCCAGGATCTCACAGAAGGCAAGGTCTCACAGAGGGCAAGGTCTCACAGAAAGCAAGGCGTGTCACTCATAGCAGGGACTCACACAAGGCATGGTTTCACATCTGAAACAAAGGCCTGGTTTCACAGAACACAAGGTGTCACATGTTGAACCGAGGCCTAACTCTCACAGAAGGAAGGGCCTCGCAGAAGGCAGGGCCTCACAGAATGCAAGGTCTCACAGAAAGCAAAGTCTCACAGAGGGTCCAACATTATGAACAAAGGCAGGGTCTCAGAGAAGGAAGGGTCTCACAGAAGGCAAAGCCTCACAGAAGCCAGGGTCCCACAGAAGGCAAGACCTCACAGAGGGTCTCACAGAAAGGCAGGGCTTCACAGAAGGCAGGGTCTGGCCCACTAAACAAAGGCAGGGTCTCACAGAAGGCAGGGGGGTGCCAAGCCTAGTTTGGCTACAGGCATGCGTATCACATATGACGCAATGCAGGGTCTCACACAATAGACAGGGAAATAAAGGACCTCGCACCTGAAGGTGTTTTCACCCGTGAAATCACACGCTCCCGAATTGTTGCTCTCCTCTACTGCTCCCACACGCGAGCTGCTCTTGCTCACTTTCTGGTTGGCGGCAGAATGACAGGACCGGCCCTGGACACTCTTCCATAACTGAAGCTTAGGATTTTATATTTGGTCTTCGATAGGAGCAAGATACAATCTATAGATATGTAGCACAGTTTTCGATATAAATTAGAACAGATGGCAGGGTCTCACACATCAAGGAAGGCAGGGTCTCACAGAAAGGCAGGGCCTCACAGAAGACAGGGTCTCGCCCATTAAACAAAGGCAGGGTCTCACAGAAGGCAGGGTATCATAAAATAAACTAAGTCAGGGTCTCACAGAAGGAAGGGCCTCACAGAAGGCAAAGCCTCCCAGAAGCCAGGGTCCCACAGAAGGCAAGGCCTCACAGAAGCCATGGTCTCACAGAAGGCAAGATCTCACAGAGGGTCTCACAGAAAGGCAGGGCTTCACAGAAGACAGGGTCCCGCCCATTACACAATGGCAGGGTCTCACAGAAGGCAGAGGGTGCCAAGCCTAGTTTGGCTACAGGCATGCGTATCACATATGACGCAATGCAGGGTCCCACACAATAGACAGGGAAATAAAGGACCTCGCACCTGAAGGTGTTTTCACCCGTGAAATCACACGCTCCCGAACTGTTGCTCTCCTCTACTGCTCCCACACGCGAACTGCTCTTGCTCACTTTCTGGTTGGCGGCAGAATGACAGGACCGGCCCTGGACATTCTTCCAAAACTGAAGTTTTAGGGTTTTATATTTGGCCAATGATAGGAGCAAGATACAATCTATAGATATGTAGCTTTCGATATAAATTAGAACAGAAGTCCGGGTCTCACACATCAAGGAAGGCAGGGTCTCACAGAAAGGCAGGGCTTCACAGGAGACAGGGTCTCGCCCATTAAACAAAGGCAGGGTCTCACGGACGGCAGGGTATCACAAAAATAAACTAAGTCAGGGTCTCACAGAAGGAAGGGCCTCACAGAAGGCAAAGCCTCACAGAAGCCAGGGTCTCACAGAAGGCAAGGCCTCACAGAAGCCAGGGTCTCACGGAAGGCCAGGTTTAGCAGAGGGCAAAACTTTAGAGAAAGCAAGGTGTGTCACTCATAGCAGGGACTCACACAATAGACAGGGGGAAACAATGGATTCCGCACCTGAAGGTGTTTTCACCCGTGAAATCACACGCTCCCGAACTGTTGCTCCTCTACTGCTCCCACACGCGAACTGCTCTTGCTCACTTTCTGGTTGGCGGCAGAATGACAGGACCGGCCCTGGACATTCTTCCATAACTGAAGTTTAGGATTTTATATTTGGTCTATACTAGGAGCAAGGTACAATCTATAGACATGTAGCACATTTTTCGATATAAATTGAACAGACGGCAGGGTCTCACAGAAAGGCAGGGCTTCACAGAAGACAGGGTCTCGCCCCTTAAACAAAGGCAGGGTCTCACAAACGGCAGGGTATCATAAAATAAACCAAGTCAGGGTCTCACAGAAGGCAAAGCCTCACAGAAGCCAGGGCCTCACAGAGGGCAAGGCCTCACAGAAGCCATGGTCTCACAGAAGGCAAAGTCTCACAGAGGGCAAAACTTCACAGAAAGCAAGGTGTGTCACTCACAGCAAGGACTCGCACAAGGCATGGTTTCACACCTGAAACAAAGGCATGGTTTTACAGAACACAAGGTGTCACATGTTGAACTGAGGTCTAACTCTCACAGAAGGCAGGGCCTCACAGAAGGCAGGGCCTCACAGAATGCAAGGTCTCACAGAAAGCAAGGTCTCACAGAGGGTCTAACATTATGAACAAAGGCAAGGTCTCAGAGAAGGCACAGGAGGGAAGGCCTCACAGAAACGCAGGCTCTCACAGACTGCAGGGCCTGACTGAAGGCAAGGCCCAACATGTGAAAGAAGGCTGGGTCTCATAGAAGGCAGGGTCGCACATAGGACAAAAGGCAAAACTTCACATGTGAGAGAAAGCAAGGTCTTACATGTGACGACAGGTAGGGTCTCACATATGGCAGAAGAGGGTCCCGCATATGACAGAAGGCAAGGTCTCACACGCGAAAGAAGGAGGGTCTCGCACATGACACATTGCAAGGTCTCACAGATCTAACAGGGTCTCGCTTATGACAGAAGGCAGGGTCTCACACACGAAAGAAGGAAGGGTCTCACAGATGACAGATTGCAAGTCTCACAGATCTAACAGGATCTCGCAGGACAGAAGCCTAGTAGGTAGGGTCTTTCAGAAGGCAGCGTCTCACAGCAGCTGGAAGGGTCGGAATAGGGCAGATTTCCGACAAACGTTCGACAACATTAACGGCGAGGAAAACGCAATTAACGGGGCGAGCAGGACCACCACCCCCTCCTGTCCACCCCCACCCCCTTCCACCCGCTTCCACGCCCCCTTAACACCCTCCCCAACCCCTTCCCTTCTCCCTTAATCCCTCCCACCCCTTCCTCCGACAAACGTTCGACATCATTAACGGGGCGAGGAAAACGCAATTAACGGGGCGAGCAGGACCACCCCCCCTCCTGTCCACCCCCACCCCCTTCCACCTCCTTCCACACCCCCTTAACACCCTCCCCAACCCCTTCCATTCTCCCTTAATCCCTCCCACCCCCTCCTCCGACAAACGTTCGACAACATTAACGGGGCGAGGAAAACGCAATTAACGGGGCGAGCAAGACTTCCCTCCCTCAGCACACCCCCTCCTGTCCACCCCCGCCCCCCCACCCCCTGAGGTAGCTTTTCCCTCTATTAGGGGAGCCCTGGAAACCTAAGTAAACACCTGTGGCAAGCGGAAGCGACTACACTCTTTTTGTACACGCGGAATTGCTGCTAGTCTTGAGCCATGCGGAGTGCGCATGAGAGATATGAATTCAGTATACATGTCAACATGCATGAATGCATTGTGAAGACACGTAAACAAAAATAAATCACAAACAGACACAAATTTTCTTCGTGTCGGAACATGCAAGTCTGTTTCACAGGTAGCGCTCAGCCTGTGATCTGCTGTGAGACAGTCCGAAGACAAAAACAAAACTGTACAAAAGCTACTCTCCGCTGTTGGAAAGCGGTATTCTCTATTGGGCGAAAGCGACCGCAAATGCGGAACATTGCAATTTTTCTGGGGCTACAAGCCCATAGTGAAATAGTAACCGTAAAAACTCAATTCGTTCCTCCTTCTTAGCTCACCGGTCTGATGAAAGAAAATGGACTGATCCGGTGTCTGCGGGATCATGTCAAGCCACGATCCGTCATATTTCTGGACCCAACGCTGTCTGGGTATCTGGTACCCTGGGACGTATTCTACTTGAGTGGTGTTGGGATTTACTCTGTAGTGCGACGGCTGATCATAGCTGTAATCGTAATTACGAGATACGGAAGAGCTGGAAGCTGTTCCTTGGTTAAGCCATTGTGTACCCGATATTCGGGATGGAGGCGCCGGAGGTTCAGGTACGTTGATCGGCCTTTTTCTGGTCGTTTGCCTCTGCTCAGTCTGCTGAGATCTCTCTCTCCACGGCGGTGGAGTCTTCGGCGGTCCCGGTGGATCAGGAGGCGTTCTTGGCTGCTGTGCACCTAGTGTTCGTCCGGGAGCCGGAACTGGAGGAGCCTTTACAGGCGGCCTAGCACTAGAGGAAGATCCTGATGACGTCGGAGCTGGTGGTTCTTTCAAGGATCTCGGTGCAGCTTTATATTTCACAGGTTCAACTGGTCTGGCCTTTGCTGCTGGACCTCGCACAGGTGCCGGAGGCGGTGCTGGTGTTTCAGCTCTGGGTCGATATGTTCTGGTCCTGCTGATCGATCGACTTCGAGTGCGTCC